CGAGGAATGTTTACTCCACGAAACAAATAGTTTACTCTACGTAAACAATTAGATATCGATCAAATTTATTTCTTGTATTAATATTTTTAATAAAAGAAAATCCATTAAGGGCCATGCCTCCGGGGTTTTCTATGGGAAAACCGGGCCCTATTTGTGTTACGGAGGCGAAGAAAGCCCATTAAACTCTACGTGGCTAGCGTAATGGCCAGGCGCCAACTCGCTACCAACAACGCTCGAAAGTTTTATCCATTTGGTGGGCCAAATTATCTGGCAGCATTCTGTATACACGCGGTGTTTAAACTTAATCAAAGACGGAGAAGTTGTGTAGAAAATTAGAAGGAAACCTGGCACGCTTCACAACACTTACAAAGGTTTTTCAAACGAAAGATTATTACATTTGATTCAAAATAATTGTTTTAAGACAACGAAAAGATAAATTTTACTAACATTAACACCACACAATTTTAACTTTTAACAAAATGAATATATTTCGAAATGATTTTTATAATTTTCTTGCAAATTTTTGTCGAGATTTAGATCAGGAAAGCTCGAAAGAGGGTAAACAAAATCGTGCAACACACAAACGCGCACATTAACATCCATACGTACAGAAAAAACTCCGAATGATTTGCATTTCTCGACGTTTCCAGGTCCCCCTCCAAGGAAGCTGCGGAAGCGCCGCTTCTCTTGTACTTTCTAAAATATAAATACATATTGCGCCATTATTTTCATATTTTAACCTACTTTGAATTACTTAAAATTAATATTTTATTGATATAATTATAACCGCATTACGTATTTTATTACAAATTTCTCTACTAACGTGAAAACGATGATAATATTGCTATTGTGTAATGGAATATAAATTCGTATGTGCATATTCCCAACGGAAGCGCCGTATTGTCGAATACGGGATGGCTTCCGCGGTCAAAATATTGGAAAGGTGTNTTATTGATATAATTATAACCGCATTACGTATTTTATTACAAATTTCTCTACTAACGTGAAAACGATGATAAGATTGCTATCGTGTATTGGAATATAAATTCGTACGTGCATATTCCCAACGGAAGCGCCGTATTGTCGAATACGGGATGGCTTCCGCGGTCAAAATACTGTATTTGAACGGTGCGAAGCGGACAGATTACAGGCATTCGCGCGTGCCCTTTACAGAGTACAAACCTTTGGCGGTTTAGCCGATGGATGCTACGCACCAAACTATCGTATATCGCTTCCAATGACTCTATCCGGGGTCGGCAGTTTCGCTATCGTCAAACGTCACCGCGTGCCGCTGGTAAAAATCTCGGGGAGGGTCGTTTTTTGACCGATGGCCATACTTTTCCTCTGTTATTTATAACAGAATCGGGAAAGTAAAAATAGTAGTCCGTGACCTCGTTTCGATATACAAAGGTATTACGGCGACAATGTCCGCGGTCTGTGATGCCTAACGGAATTCAGGCCTAGAGGTCAAAAATAAAAATAGTATTATCCGCGCCCAACGGAAAATAGGATGGAAAAACGAACAAAACAAAGATCCAAGAACAAAGTAATCGCCATCGATTGCGTTGTTCTCGTATCGTCTCTCCCTACCCGGCGGTGCAACAATCGCGTATCCCGCGGCCTGCGGGTAGGAGGATACCCTCTTTTGTGGCGAAAACTGCCAAATTCGCCCGTCCGCAGGCCAACTGTACAAGAATCGCCTGTTCTGTGCCTAACAAATGCAGGAATCGTTTCTTTACTTCCGGTTCCGTTTCAATTCTCTTCCGATACGACAATGTCGCGTAATGTCTTAGTATTACAGTATAGTACGTGTCAAGTATGGTGATCGATCGATTGTTAATTAAATTAAAGATCGAGGAGTGAAAAGATACAGGGGACCACACGTTATATATCGAGCGAGTTTTTTTTTTTTTGGATATTTGCTTCGATTAGAAAATTTGATGAGATATTCTTTTCCAGTTGGAAGATGTAAATTTAGAATAGAATAAGTTAATAATGGGTTAAACCTAAAGCTTAGGATATTACTATTTTCTATATTTTGAATTTACAATAATCTAAACGGGTTTCTTTCCAATTACAGTTATTTCTCACGTAATCGGAGAGTTTAATTAAAAATTGCCAGGCATTAGTCGCGGGCTTGGAGAATAACGAAGTATCCGGCTGGATTCTTTCCGGGTGTACCAAAGATATACGCTCGGAAAGTTACGTCGTAGACTAATAAACACTTTCTTTTCGCCGTTTATTAATGTTATCGCGGCCCACCGGTGGCCGAGCGGTCTTCGTTCCCCGAACTCCGGGAGTTCGGGGGTGGGTCGGCGCCTGGCTGGGAGGGGCCGGAGTTTACCGGGTTTTCTCCACGTCCGTAACGCCCGAATAGGGGCCAGTTTCCCCTAAACAGACCTCCCGGAAGACACCCCTTAGGCAGATGGCCCGAGTGTTGCGTGGCCGTAATTTAACCGAGCAAACAAACAATTACCGTTATTAACGTAATTGTGCCGTTTCGTGTTAGCGCCACACGCGAGTTTCGTTTATCGTTATCTACGATAAATTACTGGCCAGTGCCGACTGTTTGGAAATTTTCTGGTAGACTTTTAAATAGAAAGTTGGCCTGGCACCTGGCAATTGTCAATCTGGTAAAATGTATACAGTGTATATACTGTAAATTACTAGTATGTTAGCCCTTTTTTGACGAAACTGTTTTGTTATTTTTTAACTAAAATAAAAAATAAGTTTCTAACGAAAACCAAGCTGTTTAAAATTTAGAAATGTTTAATATCGTAAATAACAGTTCACAAATGCATATATAGAGATATTTTTTGAAGGAGTGGAAATGGTCTTCACAATTTGAAATCGATCGAACACACTGTGCGCGAACGCTCGTGTAAACGCGCGCCATCTATCGTAAGATAAATGCCAGAAAACTTCGCGGGAGTGTATTAAAAAACTTCCCAAAGCTTCATGGCAATCGGATAAACGGTGTGGTAATGCATGAAGGACACACACACACACACATTCATTTTTATATATATAGACTAGCTTACCCGTCGCGCATTGCTGCGATCTCAGAAGAAAGGAAATTCGAGCAAACTCGTTACGATAAAATTCAATTTACATTTTATCATTTTCATTGAAACTTATTATTATTATTCATTTTCATGGGGAAAACATTTCAAAGTGTCCTTTCAATTTTATTTATTTATTGGAGTGTTTGTGGATAAACGATATTTTTTGTTTTTCCGTCTGGTGCGTACACGAATAAATCAGAAGATTTTCCGACACGTGAGCCGGCCACATACAGTTGTCCAAGCGAGAAGCACGGATTCTTTGAATTTAGCCCACATACTCGAAAAGATTGTTAGAAGCGCGATATTCCCCATTTTTATATATTTTTTTTAATCCTTCATAATTTTGATTATTTAATTGCTCCTTCCTCTCTTCCTTGGCATGTTGTGAAATTTCTGATAGTCGGATAATAAACTGTCTTATTGTAATTTGTCTTTTTAAATTATTTTGAGTCGATATTAAAATTTGGAAAAGGGGATCCCTAGATCGGTAAAATAGGCGAATTTCTTCCTACAACTTCGGTCGTTGTTCGGTATAAAGTTAAAGTTTTAACAAAGTTTGAGCGAATACGTAATTAGCAAAAAAAAAGTTGAAATAAAGTGATTAAACAAAAATTATTACGAATATCGTAAATAACAAATGCATATATAGAAATATTTTTTGAAGGGGGAAATGGTCTTCGCAATTTGAAATGGATCGAACACACTGCCAGAATGCTCGTGTAAACGCGCGCCGTCTATCGTAGGATAAATGTACTTCGCGGGAGGGTATAAAAAACTTTCCAAAGTTTCATGGCAATCGTACTATGCCACAAACCTTCGCCGGAGTATATTAAACAACTTCCCAAAGTTTCACGACAATTGGATAAACGGTGTGGTAATGCATGAAAGACATAAGACAGACACACAGACAGACATACATTCATTTTTATATATATAGATAAGCCGAGTTTTGGCTCGGGAAGTGTTTTTAAAACGATTACGACATTAAACGTTTCCAACTTTTAAATTTGCTTAATCAATCTTTGATTTATAGGATAATTATAAGTTTATTACATCGATCAGTTTATTATTTCGGTAGGTATTTTGTACTTCGGGCACGCGAAACGGATAACGATATTTTATAAAGCTATCGTTATATAAAAGTAAATACTGTATATTATAATTTACAGGGCGATGCAAAAGTTTTGACTCGCCGGTATTAAACGAAAAGGGTGGATAAACGGTAATGCGTTAGGCCGCGTTACCGATACGACGGCCGTCTGGAAACCCGCGTGTCGTAAAGTAAACTGGTGGACAATTTTACAAGAAAATAACAATAAGCTTAATTCGAAAGTAATCGTCCCTCTTTGTATCGAGTGTCGATATCGGCGTTTTATACGGTTAAGCCAACACTTTTGGAACACACCGCGTATTAAAAGTTTTCGTCAAATAGGCCTTATTTTGATTCGAGTGAATAATTGTAATATTTGAATTTAATAAATTCGAGTGTTCTCGCGTAATTTAATTTTGGTAAAACGAATACGATATTTATAAATTGCTAACTGCACTGGTCGGAACAATTATAAGGAGCGAGTTACGTCGCGCGGAACCAACGTTTCTGAATTTTACGCGTTATTGTTATAAAATATACAGTAATATGCGAAAAATTACGCGTATTTCCATTTATTGCACTCGTTGCAATACGCGTAGCCTCTCTGCGCCAGCGGAACGAACGATTTTTAGGTTATTTTGCCGACTTTACAGGGTGTACGACCTCCGCCAAGGGCTAAAACTACCGCCCGTCTCTGCGGCACGGAATCGACGGGATGTCCAAGAATTTCGTACATCTCGACGAGAGTAGTCGCGCGCTTCTCTAATTTTTTTGACCAATGTTTGATTAAAAATAGGAAACTAATTTAACTACAATAATATATTTTCAATTAAATTTTTTTTCAGGGTGGTAAATAATAACGACGTTACGAATAAAGAAATTAGAAATGCCCGCCGCCAGAAGATTAACGTAGAGTGCGGGCAGCGAGACGGGCGTACTTTTCCATCGCCGATGAATCTCTTACCCACGTGGTACAACGTTTCTCGGGGGTCCAAATACGCGCGTCTAGAATTAGATAGCCTAAAATTAAAATGGTCCGAGTAATTTTGAAAAGAAGGCCATTTTGCTAGAAAAAGAAGACGACTTAAGTCCACAACCGCACAAAATGCTGGCGTTTCCGAAAATGATCAAGCAATCTCCTTTTCGATTCGTTTCGATATTAACTGTATTAATTGTTTTTACTGTACTACTGTGGCCCGCCTACATACATATAGTGGAATGGCAATTTTTTCACACTCACTACGTCACTCTTCAAAGTATGGCCTCCTCCGCTTCGTGCCAGATTCCCACGCCAAATGCATTCGACGATTCGGTGATGCGATACGTCGTCAAAAAAGATCCCCTGAAATGTAAATTCGTCCAACCGGAATTGACCTACGTAGACTACGAAGGGGTTCTTCGTCTGAATCGATCCGCCATGGCCGCTCATCGCATAGACGAGAGTCTGCTGTACTGTAATTATTCAACTTTAAGAAGAAAGCCTAACGACGACGATCGTGTTATATATGATCCGGAAAAGATTTTGAATGTTTCCGCGAAAATTAGTGACGAAAGGGAATACGTCAACGTCAGTTGCAGTTATAAGGAGAAGGCTATATATCAGAACTACCATTCTTACATTCGCAAAAAGCCAGCGGTTAAACTAGTCGATATAAAGAAATATAAACCGCAGGTGTTTATATTTGTAATTGAATCCATGTCCAGGTTGAATATGATTCGCCATATGCCAAAGACCTACTCTTACCTCACCGATGTCATGAAAGTCGAGGTAAGTATCATTTTTGAATTTTCGTCGGATGAATAATTATTTTTTCACAAATTAAAGACAAAGTGGCTCTAAAAATACATTTCGTGTAGCCCGAAAAGGAAGGTCCAGCTGTCTATACTTTGTTCTAGATCGCTGAGTAAAAATGGTGATCGTCTGAAATATATTTTTAGAGCCGCTTTGTCTTTAATTTGTGAAAGAGTAAGTATTAAACGGAAACATATAAATTAACTAAATTTTGATAGCTTTTAATCCTTAAAACACAAACGTAATTATATTCTACTTAATTGAGATTTAAGGATTTTTAATTTGCCTTTAAACAAACTTCTTCTTAATAATACTGTACAGTATCGTTTTCGGTTTCAGAGATGCCCGTACAATGGGGCACTCGGGCCTGTGTCGACGGGTTGCCCTTTTCTTAATCCCCGAGGGCGCTGTAAAGTTTCATTTTAAAATCCACCTAAAATTAATGGTTTCTTGCCCCTGTACATCGTACTTTACCTGTTAGCGATAGAGTCGTACTGGTCACCTAACTCCTTTCGGGGAAAACTTTTAAACTGAAATAACGTGACCTCCGGTCTAGGCCGGAGGTTCGTATATAGTTAATCGGGGCCTCCTGTTCCTAAACTTTCCATCTCTGTTCTCGGACTTTATCTATCCAACTGCATTCTTGCGATTAAGAAAAGAGAGACGACGACGATAGTGGGAATTTAGTCTACAATTTTTTCAAATTTGTTCTAGAGGGTCGTGATTGTTCGTTCGGTCGAGTACCAGGGTACCACTGTATTTGATTAACGCGATTTTGATATAAGCGGTAGCATCGAGGAATTAATTGCTTTAATCAAGGGATACGTGTGTATATATATACATATAAACTGCATATTTTATTAATGTACGGACGATGCCCTTTCTATAGCTTGCGCCCTTCCTTTTTTTTATAGTCTGTGGGCTCCGCTGTTTGTTCCTTCAAAGGAAACGTGGACTCAGACGTCTAATGCAAGCGTGTGTTCTATTGTACTGTACTGTATACAAGCTTAGAACTCCACCCTGCGGACAGCCACAACTATGAAGTGACCTTTGATCACAATCCCGATACTACTAACTACTTCCAATGGAAAGTATACGGACGGTTCCAAAAAGGAATCCGGTGTGGGGGCTGGTATTTGCATCTTAAACCGCGAAGGTAGGACTGTATACCGAGCTCATCCGAAGCTCGCGGAACACTGTAGCGTAACTCGTGCAGAGCTCTGGGCCACCTACAAAGCCATCACTGAAATAAAAAAGAACATTAACAAGTATGGAGGCAACATACAGTTTTCAATTGATAGTAAAGCAGTCCTTTATACTTTGGTAAAATGGGACAAGATCACACTTCTAGATAGAGAAGTCATTGCAAATGCACAACATCTTGGAAAATTACGTAAGATCCGATTTACTTGGATCCCTGCACATAAAGATTACGAAGGAAATGAGTTATCTGACCGTCTGGCTAAGAAAGCCCGTACTCTAAACACAAGTCCAACTTATACAAGGTTGCCAAAGTCAGCTTTAAATAAACTCCTTTATGACTGGGCATTGGATCAATGGCAGAATTACTGGAACGACTCTACTACGGGCAGACTCTGCTACCGCTTCATCCCTTCTATATAGAACAGGAATACGAATAAGCACTATAAGCCTAGATCCGATACCACTCAATGCGTGACAGACCATGGCAACTTCATGGCCTCCGTTTTTGGAAAAAGGATCACCAATGTGAGATTCTGAATTTTTAGGGAAATTATTCCTGAAAATGGATAGAAAAACGTTAAAAATTAAATATAATAAGTCGGAATTTTTATCAAAGTTACACATCAAATAGAACCAGGAACAAATGTTTCCTGTGTTGACAGTCAGTTCCCGAGAGAGATCTTTATCGCTCATGACTAAATGGCTGACTAAAACCCAAAAGACTCATCGTGATACCCAGTCAGATGATCCTTAAGCTCGATCTCCATTGGAAGAGATCTGGAGAAATTGAAAATAATAAGTAGGGGATACGCGATAAACTCAGCGCCTCAGCATGTCCTTGTTTAATTTTGTTATTATGCCATAGTTCCTCATACAAGTAACTTCCGCCTAAGATTATGATTCGCGTAAGTCGAGTTATCACAAAGGTAATATAGTATAATATCGTTTGTAAACTCTTTCTCATCTCCCATATTTAGGATTATTATAGTGTTAACGCTCTCCAGTTTAGATGCAATATTTAATTATTGATATTTTATTTTATTGTATTTATCCATTTAATTTTGTTTTTATTAAATCTTTGTTATTTGTTTAATATGGCCTCATTTCTGTCTTACCTTCAAGCCTACGTCCATTTTACTTATTCACATCCCCCCACTCGAAATTTCTCGCGAACGGATGTTAGCGTGCCTAACTCTATAACTAGGCTGGTGTCAAGAAAAAGCAACTTACAGGAGATCTTCGCGGACCCTTGCTCCTCATTAAAGTCTTAGGAAGCCATCCTTCGACCCCGATTAAGTGGTAAAGAGCACACTCCCGACTCTCTACCCCCGGCAAGCCTCTCACACCAGCAAATGTCACTGCGATGGTGCTAGTGAGGGAGACGCCCTCCACTTCATTTTTCACTGTCCTTTGCATGATGAACATCGTTACCCTTTCTATCGTGATTGCATCCAGGAAGGACCGAACTGGCCGCCGAATCTAGAAGACATTTTTATCAAGACAGGTCTTTGGAATACCTTTGAGACTTTTATTGCTCTTCTCCCGGACAGTTATAAGACTAACACAACACTAAGAGACAGCGACATACACGAAAACGACGAAAGCAGTGATGCAACGATAGAAGATAGTGACAGTGATCAAACTGATCGTTTTTCTGTCGTCCCAGGTTAAGTATTGTATATCAGTGTTATTAACTGCGTTATCTGTAGCCTATTTATCTTTTCTCTTTTGTCACCCATTGATTTACTTACTAATTGGCTAGCGCAGGGGTCGGCAGTTTGTCAAGTGAGAAAAGCCAAATTGTTATGAAAACAGGATAACAAAAGTACCAGAGAGCCGCATATTAATTTAAATGTGCGAAATACGACACACGACAGGGGCGCCTCTAGTGGCCGTTTTCGGCATAACGTTACACAAATGGACGGACACGCGTTCATTGGGTAATACAGGTAACCCCCGTATAACACGGTAGTTACGTTCCAAAAAATTGCCGTGTTATACGAAACTAATACGAAAAGGAGGGTTAGGTTCCAAAAATTAAAAAACATGCCTGTATATTTTCATAATTAAGATAAATATCTTCATTAAAATTTTTTAAGTGATACGTATTAATATAAATTGAACAATGTTTTCTTCGTCATCAGTAAAAACACTATTAATTAACCGAGAGCGTTTTCTTTTTGGCAAGTTATCCTTATCCTCTGAGCATTTTTCTGCATTATCTTCAGATCCCCTTATCCTCTGAGCATTTTTCTGCATTATCTTCAGACCCACGCTTTACCTTTTGCAAAATGTATGTAATTTTAGATCGCTTGCTTCTAGTTAAAAGGTCTTTATAAATTTCCTTATATGGTGCTAAGCACTTATGAAGAATAAAGCGAGTATGGAATAAGGGAAAAACATCTGGCACTACAAAAGCAGAAGCGTCGCGATCTGGCAACATTGAAACAAGTTTCCAGAAGGACCACGTGTATCGACAGAAGGCGAGAAAAGAAAATTTACGTACTTAAGTACTAATACTTCACGAAAATAATAATTTTCGCGAACTATTATTACTTAAGTATGTAAAAATTTATTACATTTCCTGTTGTACGAGGGTTTTACACAATTCTCGAACCGTGTTAGAGCGAATCCGTGCTATAGAAGTGCCGTGTTATACGGGGGTTACCTGTATATATAGATATGCTTCAAATGGTACCACTCTTATGCGACTCATATTGATCAACGCGAGTGTGGTCATGTGCGGAAGGAGAACAAGTCGAAATGTGTTCGGCGGCTCTATCTCATAAACTCATAAGTTATAAGGCTGCGGTGAAATGAGGTGAAATGAAATTGGAGTTTATGTCCGAAGAGCCGCAAACGTCTATGCAAAGAGCCGCATGCGGCTCGCGGCCGCTAATTCCGACCCTTGGGCTAGCGCATGGAAGAATAATTCTGTTCGTTACAACTCGCGGAAATAACTGTTTAGTTGTCTGGTTACGGTGGTTAATTTTGTTAGCCCAAGCATATATCATTCGCGCATTGTACAAATTTATTACATTAATTACAAATTTAAATGTATATCTATATATATAAAATTGCTTGTCCTGACTGACTGACTCACTGACTGATTTATCATCGCCCAGAGCAAACCGCTGGACCTATAGAGGTGAAATTTGGTACTCAGTTAGGGTACGTCACGAAAACGCACACTAAGAAGGGATTTTTCGAAATTCCCAAGTGGGGGGAGAGGGAGAGCATTAAGGGTTAACCGGAAAAACTGCTTCTCCTCTATTTTAGATGCGATTTTTTTGTTTTCAACTACATTTAGTCTTCATCGAGTACTTAGGGGTATTAAATTGATAACATTTCAGACATTGTTATAAATATTTTTATTTATTTCGATTTTAATTTAAAATGTTTGATCCGTTTTAAATTCGCATTTGTTATTGCATATTGGTTCGATTATAGAAAGACTGTAAACGTTTCAGAGAATTGATCAAATTGAAAACAGTTCGTTTGATTCTCGGCAATTCTCTTCAGCGGTAGGTGTTATTTGACAATTACTATGGTTATTGAAATATTGAATGTAAATGTGGTTTACTTGCAAAACCTCCGCGGACGAAGTTGCGGGTAACAGCTAGTTATTAATAACCGTTGGTTTACATTTGTTGTAAACTGAAGATCTGTTTTGTATTGTATACAGCTAGTGTACTCTTTAATTATAGGTTAACTCAACGCGCGGAAATTACTTAACAGTATCCATCCTTTAGTCAATCATTTTCTGCCATCAT